CATAGAATTAATCGCACGTAGCCAGATCCAGTTCCACTTCTTTCAATTGGATCCAGACCCTTACCAGCTCGTAAGAGCGACGATTGTTGGTCCAGCAGAGCAACACCAGCCTGTTCACCCTCAGCCTGGTTTCTATTCTCTGGCTGGTAGATCCCATTGATGACACCATAGGCTGGGGTGAAGCGTGTGTGTCGCGTGGCGACACGTTTCACTGTTCTCTGAGTCACATGTCATTCCGTATGAATTACAACTCCATTAACGTTCCAGGCAACCTGCGAGCATACATAATGTTGCCGATTCGGGCGGATCAGTTTCCTCCAGCCAAGATGTTGATTTATGAAGGCTGATGCCGGTGGCTTGTCCTTGGTCGAAGGGAGGCTCAATGCCAAAGTGATTGGATTTTTAATGTACACTCTAGAATTCTGCATTTCATTTTCAACAGAATTGGTTGTTCCTTCTTTCTCTTGTGAAGAAAATCGCAGATCCTTTTCTCGTTACATTTTCTATTTCTCCTTTTGATCAGAGGTTTTGCGGAGCCTGTCATTGTGGTTTTCAGTCGTCTTCCTTTCCTTGGTGAATATAAAAAGTTCAATTTACTTTTCTTCCCCTTTCTGCTCCAGTTTCCTTTTCTTCTTCTGTTTGGAGAATCTTAATGGAATCCATTATTGGTATATTTATTGTACATTAAAGTGAGTGGGTTTTTAACGTGCACTCTAAAATTCTTTATTTCATTTTCTGAGGAAATGGTTGTTTCTTCTTTTTCTTGTTAAGAAAATTCGAGTTCCCTTTCTTGTTACATTTTCTGTTTCTCCTTTTCTTCTGCAGAGGTTTTATGGAGTCTATTATTTGTGGTTTTATACTGAAATGGTTGAAATTGCTTTTTTCATTTCAGTGATAGAAACTTCAGAAATGACTTTAATGTTACCTTACCTTCACATTTGCGTTGATGAAAGTTTTTGCAATGGGAAGAAACAAGTAGAATCGAATAGTTAGATGAAGAAAGTTGGAGACACCTGAGGGATGGACTTAAGGGCAGGATTTAGGGAAGATTCGAACTGACAACGGGCTACCCTACGTTAGGGAAAACCTCCTTGGAAATGGCGGTCGGCCCGTGACGCCGCAAACTACTAGAAAATTGATAGCAACTTCCTGCTTAATTATCATGTGTGCATGTATCTTCGCGCTTATGGTTTCCAGATGAGCTAAGTGGAATATCTGGTTACGTGTAATGGAAACTTATAGTTCTTTGCACTCCTAATCTGATCTTACTGTGGCCATACTTTTAATTCATTGATAAAATGGAAATTGCAAAATTGTGCAATTAGAGATGAAGTCTAGTGTTTACTAAGAGTATCTGAAAAAATTAATTGAAGTATTACACACTTGTTGTAAGTGGAACGAATAATTACTCTTATCCTTTCTATCGTGGTGAAATGAAAATTGAAGAATTGTAATTAATCATTTTTGTAAATTCACATTGATTGCATCTTAAAATATTGAATTAAGCATTACTCATCTTTTTGCACTCTTAACTTTCCTTTTCTTTTCTTTACAAGGTAGTAAAGTAGATAATTTAAATTTCTAACTTTTTAAAATACGCTAAAATTTTGATTAAAATTATTGCACGTTTCTTACACGCCTAATTTTAGTTCTAAAATAATAAAATGAAAATATTACTTTCGAACCTTTTTCACCAAAAGAAAAATCATCAAAAACATGTACACTCTTTATGAAAAAAAAAAAAGAATATAATAAATTGATTATAGTACTTTTGACAACAGCTTAGGCTATTTTAAGGTACACTTTATAGCAGTGTAATCGATATTCTAACATCAATCTTTCACAAACAACTAATTCGAAGAGAATCGTGTTGCAAATGCAATTAGGCGAGATTACATTTTCCTCTGGTAATGCAATTTCCGGGCGCTTTTCAGAATATGTTACTGGGACATCGATGATTAGTGTTACCGGCAATAAAGTTCCCGGCTAACTGGATTTACTAGCCGGCAATAAGTGTCAAAAGTGAACAGCCTGTTTCGCAATTAGTAAAATACAGATTGTACGGCATTAAACTTGTCCACGTCGTCGGTGGAATGCAATTTTCGTTCTCAAAATATTACGTCTACTAATCTTTCTATCCGCATGTAGATTCACTTGAATATCGTGATTCCAACGCATTGGAAGCCACAACACCTTCTTTTTTCTCCTTTTTTTTTTGAATCTTATTAATTTCAGAACGACTGTTTAAATTTTCTTCACATTCGGCAAGTGTTCTAAACTACAAGAACAGAATTTTTCAAAAAAAGAATAATACCTTCATTTCTCACAAGGGAACAGTTCGAAGTGATAATCATCGAGTTTGATGAAGTTTTAGAATAAAGCAGTTCTCAGAAAAATATTCGACATGTTCCTTTTTTACACCGGAAATCGTCCATAAGGAAGAAGTGAAAATCGCTCTCAATTGGATATAATTTTCTGCTGGAGAGGTGAACCCAGTTAACAGGTTAATTCAAATATATTTTCATTTGAAATAAACGAAAATGTCTGAAATAAAACAAGAAAAAAATGTCAACACGTAAATGAAACTTTTCTATTGTTACAACAAGCAGGCTAGCTTTTATTTTGCTACATCACGATTAATCCAAGGTTCGACTTATAATCAGCTAGCACAGAGAATTCTATTCAGACTGTCGACATGATCACACTATGAGAGTAATCCCATCACCCGGACGGTGTAATAAATTTAATCAGATCCGAGAGTTCGGTGTACTATAGCAGAAGATGACTACCATATTCTCTGAGCATTAACGTAGCCCAAGTCTGTGATTGGCAATCATGATTATTATTACACGAGGATCAGGATTAAGAAGGACGTTGGTTCCTGACATATCCCTTGTCTATCGAACACGGCTATTTTTGGATCGAGACCAGACATCTGCTTGAAATGTACATCGTCAAAGGGATCGCTCTATTCATGATGCATGAAGTTCAACCGAGAAATAGGAAGCTTGATGGTAGACGGAAGTCATTCACCTTGAATCCATTTATCTTGAGGTGGATAGTAGCTTCGGTGGTTTTATTTTCTTTATGGTAGTTTGACGAGATTAAAAATTTCGAGAAAGGTTCTGATTGGTATCATAGTGGACGAGTAAAGTGTGCGTGCGTGCGTGTGTGTGCGATGTAAGAAGGATGGTTGTTTGGGTGGCAGGAAGATAGATGAATAAGAAAAGTCATGTTGAAGGTATTCAGAAGATTGGGAGTGTTTAAGAATGCTTAAGGAAGATGAAAAGAAGCGGTGATAGAAGTTAATGGAATAGTTATGAAAGAGATCGGGCAGAAATTCATGTGTGAAAACCAGAAAGTTACGAAAGAAGGGAAATAAAAATTTGGACGGAATATGTCAAAGTGTTAGAGAATATTAAAATAATTAATACTAGATTTTCACGTGAACGTTGAAAATAGAACGTCTCTGAATATTAAGTTAATGTTAAAAAATATTAAGCAGCAGACGTAAAAATTGAAGAGAGTCAAGGGGGAAGTGGAATGATCTCTAAGGAGTACTAAATAATACCGAGAAAAATTCAAACTGCTAATAATAGAGATCGCTAGAATAATTAAGGAGGAATTTAAAATAGAAGTTAATGTAATAATTTGGGATTGAATTGATAAATCTATAGTAGAAATTAATACAATAATCAAGGAAGAAATTATGGAATCTATAACAGAAGAAAACGAGTAGAAATCCTCTAAAATTCACCATTTCACCTATAATCCAATCGAAACAATTTAAAAAAAGGTCTGATAAAATGAAAAATAAAATTGTAAAATCCAAGACTGAAAGAAGTGAAGCGACGGTCTTTGAAGAAAGTTCAGACGCCTGTGAATCTTCACAGAAAGTTGAAGATAATCTATAATAAACGAAGAAAGGTGAAAATTGTTCAAATAAACAGAAATCTAAGGAAGAAGTGAAACACCATGTAAATCAGTGATTAAAGGGGCAAAACAAGGAGAGTATGAAGAATGGACGTCGATGGTGCCAGAGGCCAAAAGAGGATTGGTTGAAAGCTCGTGAACCACCGAAAATGCAAAACACGTTGATTGGATCATAAATTTCGCCTGGTTCGATCCCATGGCAAGACGCTGCGAGGCTGCACCGTGCAAGAAATTCAAGTTAATCTGTCACACGCATTAGACGGTGTAATCCATCAAGCAGCGACTTGCAGGTAACCGTGAAAACGAAAATGGGGCATGTAATGCAATTACATGGCGCCCGCGTTCCGCCATCGCCCTTGTCCCTCAGTTTCCGGCCCTCCATTTTATCTGATGCCTGAGGGAGGACCCGGATGAAGGAACAGCCTTCTGTTGCCTGT